ATATATATAAAATTTTTTGTATTAAGAGATCTATTATTGATTTTTGGGGTAAAAGTAATTTAAAAAAATTATTAAAAAATAATTTATAGTTAGTAATGATTAATGGTGAGAAAATGAAGATGGCGATGATGAATTTTAACACCTCAAAATATAAATAAAAAAAATATATATATATAAAATTTTTTGTATTAAGAGATCTATTATTGATTTTTGGTATAAAAGTAATTTTAAAAAATTATTAAAAAATGAATTATTGTTAGTAATGATTAATGGTGAGAAAATGAAGATGGCGATGATGAATTTCAATATTTGTTTGTGTTTTAAATAGGAATAGAGTGAAAATCAACAAACGACGATTAAAATAGAGATGAGTTTAAACAGAACGCAAAATCTCGCGAATAATAACTATAGAAATAAAATAAGGGGCGTGAAATTAGCTGGTATTCTTGAATTGGATAAACGAGCACAGTTTGTCGATACGATTGATTAACAGTTAAATCACAATTAATTTTCAAAAGACAAATATTTCGGATTGAAAAACCAGAAAATTGCCAACCTTCTGTATTTCAACTTGAACCAGCTTTGGCCATTCTTCGCATAATATCTCCTCAAGGCCAGGAGTTCGCTTGATATCGAATACATCCTAAAACGACGACAACTTAAATAGTTTCCGTACGAAAAATCACTCTTTTCCGTATTTTTCAATTTTTTTTAAATTATATTAATCGACAAAATTTGCTGTTAGTATTTCGAATGATTCTATTTATTTAAAAGTTTAAGATTTTAAAGAGAGGTGGGTAAAGTCTAAAAGTATAAAGATGAGTCTCCAACGAAGATAGCGCACGAAGCTTGCACACATAAAGCAATTGATTAAGTGAAGAAAAGAGTTTTAAAAAAATTAGCACTTCTAAAAAAGAGAATATAGAGAGAGAAAAAATAAAATAAAATAAAAGTTGAATTAAACCTCTCTTCTCCTTAATTTAGGCCATTCAAGCGATGTCGTGGCTGGCAGTTTGATTGTTTTAATTCGACCAATACCAATAGGTTGGCTCTGTAAAAAAACAACCGAAAAATATCGTGTTAAAGCGACATGTAGTTGTTAGTGTACACTGATCTGAAGCTTTCATAAGCACATATAAAAGCGATTTTTTATATATATACTCACACACTAACGAACACACTTACAAAAGACAATAAATTATATTTGTGTAGTGTAATGAATTGGACGAACACATAAATATAGACGGACATGGACTGTATAAAATGGACAAAACGCTCCTTTGCTGACGACACTAAAAATAAAAATATAAAAAAAAATAATATAGCCCCTAAAGAGAGGTAAAAACATTGCAGCAAAAATCTTGAACTTATTCATTAAATCCTTTTATTATTTTGGTCTATTTATGGAGACGCATCGATATAGCTTTAAATTATTTAGTATTTAGTATCCTGATCGGGTTATTTTGAGCTTTCTTGAATGGTTCTTAGAAAGTTCTAAAAGTTAAATATAAAAAGGAATTTAGAGCACCTAATTATATCCTCGCTTCTATCCGACAACAAAAATAGACCACATTAGAAAGCGCAAAACGGCCTGATCCAGATCAAAAAACCCAAAAAAAAAATAAAATTAAATCGGTTTTCTCTGGGTAAAAAAAGGGGGAAAAGGTATCACCCAACCTTCAACCAACTCCAATTCTCTTTCCCCTTATTACGTGGATCTATCTCTATCATATGTCCACCGACAACGACAATTATTTTATCGTTTTCCTCGATCAGTTGCGGTTGTATGCTATGATATGCATCTTCGGTCTATAATAATAATAGCAAAAATAGGTTATCACCCAAAAATTTTACTTTAAATTCATTTTTGTTTGTTAAATTGTTCCAAATCGCTTTAACACCCTACCAAGTAGTTGTTTAATCGGCTATAAATCGTTTAATTGGTTTATAAACAGCTAAAAATTGTTTTATCGCCCAATTGTTGTTTGTTTAATCGCACGCGCGCACGTGTCAAACGCATAAACACATCGTAAAATCAAGAATTCATAATAAACAATAACGAGAAAGTACAACCTGACCTTTTCAACTTTCTTGAGTGCCGGCATTGGTTTCTCCACTTCTTTCAAATCGCCCCAATCCGGATCACCTTTGTTTTCATCCCATTTTGCGTATTTCCTCTTTTTTAACATCGCACGGAAATCCATTCCACTAGCATCTTTTTTTTCATATAAAAAAAATTAATATCAAATTTAAAAAATTAAAATCATGCTTACCAGAAACGTATAGCATCATTTCCGCACTATCTTCACCGTGCATATTCGAAACAACAATTTTATATTGTTGTTCATCGTTTGGTTTTACTTTTCTTATACAAAGTGTAATCAAATTGTATTCGCCATCTGTCAAAAATTTGTAACGACCACCTTCGATAACTTCACTAACACCCTATAAAAAAAAATTATATTTTATTTTATATATAAAAATGTATTAAAAATATATAAAGATATATTAAAAATATATAAAAATACATACAAATATACACAAAAATATATTAAAATATATTAAAATATATAAAAATATATAAAAATATATTAAAAATATATAAAAATATATTAAAAATATATTAAAACATATTAACTAACACCCCACTACTAACACCCTATTAAGAAAAATTATATTTTATTTTATATATAAAAATGTATTAAAAATATATAAAAATATATTAAAAATATATAAAAATATATAAAAATATATTAAAAATATATAAAAATATATTAAAAATATATAAAAATATATTAAAAATATATTAACACATATTAACTAACACCCCACTACTAACACCCTATAAAAAAAATTATATTTTATTATTTATAACACACGGAGCAAATTAAAAGGTTAGGTACTTGGGGCCAAACTGAAGATATTTTCTTAATAATGTTTTGACTACAACGTAATAATCACAAAGATATAGAACGCTAAAGTTACACTACGTTTAAATTCAAACTGCAAATATTTCGGGGTTACTTAAATAATGCATAATTAACACGAATAATAAAATTTTTGTAATATGGCAGTTACGGCTATTTAAAAATTTGTTAAATCGCTCAAAAACTGGTGTTTATTTGTTAAGAACCGCTAATACCATGTTTTTATTGCTGCCAATCCCGTTGATTTGGTTACCTAGCAGCGGACATGTCATTTAACAAGTATTTTAATTGTTCTTTTTCTTAAAAATGGACGATAACTTATTTAAAAAATTAACATGGGATATCTATCTAACTATTAAGTTTTTAACAAAACATTATTAAGTCCTTTTAGTCTGCTCCGTATGTTATAAATCACCCTGTATACAAATTTTATTTTATATATAAAAATATATCGAAAATATATAAAAATATATTATTAAAAAATATATATACAATTTATTATATATATATATATTAGTGGTGGATATCCTCTTTTTAATGCAACAAGCCGTTTTGAAAAATAACTTTTAGTTTCTGAGAAAACAATATTTGAAGTTTTGATAAAATTTTCGATAATTTTCAAAATTCGTTATAAAATTCATTTCTTGAAGGATAATTGTGGAAATATCACCAATTATTAATTAAAGTATCCTCTTTTTAATGCAAAAAGCCGTTTTGAAAAATCGCTTTTAGTTCTTGAGAAATAAATTTTTGAAATAATCGATTTTGCAATTTTCGCCGATTAAGTTTTAAAAATTCGTATAAAATCCATTTCTTGGAATATGAGTATGAAAATTTCCCAAAGTGTTAATAAAAGTGTCCTCTTTCCAATGAACCAACCCGTTTTCAAAAATAACTTTTAATTTTTGAAAAAACAATATTTGAAGTTTTGATAAAATTTGCGATAATTTTCAAAATTCGCTATAAAATTAATTTCTTTAAGGATCCTTGTGGAAATATCACCAATTATTAATTATAGCAAAATCACTATCCGTTCCATCACTAATATATATATATTAATTAATTAATATAAATAAGAAGTCTTAGTTACCTTATAAAATTTGAATGTAGGAGCAGGGTTACCCTCGACTTGAACCGTGATGTAAGCATTTTGGTCTAAAAATAACAAAAAATTAGTAAAACAAAAAATAATTAAAATTTAATTAAATAATACCTTCAACAGCTGAATAACTTTCTTGTACATCAACGATAATCGGTGGGCCTCCACTTCCGGTTGGTCTTAGAGGTGTGCTGGGTTTATTAATCATATCTTCAAGTTCAGCCAAGCTTGGTCTTCGCACGTCGGAACTTGCACGACGTCGCTATATTAATTAAATGAAAGTAAATACGAGGTTGACTTCTTAATTTGCGTTTGTTAAATATACAATTCTTTTTAGTTTTGTGTTAATATGTAGAATGTGTGTGAATGTGTTAAAATGTTTTATTTTAAATATTGAGACATTAAACATTTTTGACGATTCGAAATTAGAAGAAAACTTCAGCCAAATGCGATTATGCCATCCGCGTTGTTGATAAAACATGCTAAATGTAGCCTGCAGGCGCGCAAGAAATACAAAATTAATCGTACACGTAAAATTAGAGCACGTTGAAAAAGCTGAATATGTACACATATATTTTTTTTATTTACAAGAAAGTTTCGCATACGAGATCGGTCAGTGTAGTTCGTTTTGAGAGATCTCGGAATCGTTAGCACTTGAAAAATAAACATAGAAACGCAACTAAACACAACTAAAAAATTAAGAAATTAAATTATAAAAAAACTATAAACGGAATACTAAGACGTGTAAAGAAAAACCCTTTCGATTAGATACTATAAACCACATATTTTTTTATTGACATAAAGGCACTTCTATTCTAAATCAATCCCCGCTGAAAAAATTTCTAAAAAAAACCGTTAGACACAAACATAAAATTTTATTGACAAATTTTTCTCTATAAACTATCACTTTAAAAGTGGGTCTAACCTTTCCTTCGTCTAATTCCCCAGGTCTGAGGCCTTTTTTGCTCTTTAAAAGAAATAAAAAAACAAAGAAAAATTATTCTCTACCAATAATAATAATACATTTACCATTATGATAATTAATTAATATTTAATATTCACCAACGGCGCTTTTCAATTTGTTTTTAACATTTTTCATTAATAAATTTCTTTTAATTTAGAAACCATTTAAAAATAAACCAAGCCAATTATAAGCCAATTATGTAATTAAAAAAAAAAATAACGTAACAAAAAAAAATTAAAAAAAAAATAAAAACCCAACAAAACTATAAGCACAAAATAAAAAATCAATTAATACTGTTATATCCGGCATAACCAGGCATGCCAACTTTCGAAGGCCAGTTTTGTGTCGCTCGAACACAAATCTCACCTTTGTGTCAAGTACCTCACCAGGTCGTAACTTTCCACCCTGTTGGCATAACGCATTCGTTTAAACATAAACAATAAACGACATCATATTTATACATATGTATAAATATACACAAATATATATAAGACATTACAATTTTCCGATCACATCATATACAAATATATATAAAAATTCTATTTACGCTTCTATTTACGTTGACGAAGACGAAAACGCTGCGAAAAGAGCTTGTGACTTTTCAGATTTGCATGCTTAAATGTGCTTTTTTTAGTTATTTGTCAGAAGAGATTCAATTATGATCATCGGTCAGATCGAATCACGCTATACATACCATTTTTTTTTAATTAAAAATTTTAAAATATAAAAAGAATTATTGAACTAAAATTAGAACTAAGACTAGAAACTTTCGGATTTTAAAAAAAATAATTTTCAAAATTCGCTATAAAATTAATTTCTTGAACGATCCTTGTGGAAATATCACCAATTATTAATTAAAGTATCCTCTTTTTAATGCAAAAAGCCGTTTTGAAAAATCGCTTTTAGTTCTTGAGAAATAAATTTTTGAAATAATCGATTTTGCAATTTTCGCCGATTAAGTTTTAAAAATTCGTATAAAATCCATTTCTTGGAATATGAGTATGAAAATTTCCCAAAGTGTTAATAAAAGTGTCCTCTTTCCAATGAACCAACACGTTTTGAAAAATAACTTTTAGTTTTTGAGGAAACAATATTTGAAATTTTGATAAAAGTTTCGATAATTTTTAAAATTCGCTATAAATTTAATTTCTTGAAGGATCCTTGTGGAAATATCGCCAATTATTAATTAAAGTATCATCTTTTTAATGCAACAAGCCGTTTTGAAAAATCGCTTTTAGTTCTTGAGAAATAAATTTTTTAAATAATCGATTTTGCAATTTTCGCCGATTCAGTTTTAAAAATTCGTATAAAATCCATTTCTTGGAATATGAGTATGAAAATTTCCCAAAGTGTTAATAAAAGTGTCCTCTTTCCAATGAACCAACACGTTTTCAAAAATAACTTTTAGTTTTTGAGAAAACAATTTTGATAAAATTTTCGAAGTTGCGATAATTTTCAAAATTCGCTATAAAATTAATTTCTTGAAGCATCCTTGTGGAAATATCACCAATTATTAATTAAAGTATCCTCTTGCAACATGGCATCCGAAACGTCAAACCTTTTCTTAAGACGCACTGCAAAACCTGAAAGTTTCTAGTGTTAGTTCTAATTTTAGTTATAAAAAAAAATCTATATCCGTTTAGGTTAAGTTTAGGTCGATTTGAAAATAAATAGTACGGATTTAAAAGATAAGTTATGACTAGAAAAACCGTAGCAGAGATTGGGGATCTAACCCAAAAATAGTTTCGTTGAGAATTTTTGCTTGCGTAAGCAAGGCCGAGTTATTTAAAAGAAGAAATATGGTATGCGCGAGCGCGTCCGTCTGGTGTAAGTATGAGTGTTCGTCAAGACAATAAAAGCGAATAGGATGTTTTGGCGAGCTGGAATTTAAAGTAATCGTTCGAACGTTGCCAGGCATTCGCTGCGGCATGTCCTTGGTGGTTACCTTTTTGTCGTCCAGGACTTCGCCGGGACGCAGTTTCCTATGTTCCTACATAAAAAGATAAGGTTACACAATCGGACGTGTCAAAAAAAGTCTCCTTCTCCTCGGCCTGAAATGCACCTGTTTAGCTTTATGAACGAGATTTGTATACCTCATCTGTGATGATCAAGCTAGCCCTGCGTCCCACTTCTTCTGGTGGAACCAAAGAACCTCTGCGAGGAGCGCCAGTACCAGGTGCTAAAGATGTCTTCCTCGGTTCTGGACTCTTCTCTTTTTGAATCTCGGGAGGTTTCTCCTTCTGAATCTCGATCTTGGGCGCCTCCGGTTTCTTGATCTCCGGCACCTTCGGATAATCCTGCGGCATGGTGTTAAAATATGAAACACTTTGTCACCAACCAAAAAACCTGTCAGCACAAGCAGTCACACTCGATTTGTTACGAAGGCATCGCGACTACTGAACGCATTATTATTCAATAAGCCGAGCCAAAACTGAATTCATCTCTTTATAATATGCAATTATAAATATGGACCCTCTCCGAACTAGTAAGCGTAGCCAGCCAAAAATTCTGTATCCGGAGGCAATCTGCCACTGGCAGCTTCTCACCTTTGTTAATTTTGTCTTATCCCTGCCGGCGTACTCCGGCATATCATGAGGCTCAAACTTCTCTAACACTGGACGTTCATAATCAGGAATCTCCGGCAGCTCATATGATTTTTCCATCTTTTCACCTTTCTTCACCGTCTTTTTCGCAGCCTCCTTCCCCTTCTCTGTCGTTTTCTAACGAAAAAGTCACAAATTTTTTTTTTTTCGTTAAAAAATATTAAACAAAATTCTACACTTTTCATCGAACATTATAGAAGAAATAGACCTTTATAAGAAAGATTGAAAGAGAGAGAAGAAAAATGTTAGCGATTAAGAGAAGAATGTTAGAAGTAGTAAAATAGAGAAGAAGAATAAGATGAAGAAGAATAAGCGTAATCTTAAGAAAAGATAAAACTCAATTTAATTCTTGGCTTTTAATGCAAAAAGCCGTTTTGAAAAATCACTTTTAGTTCTTGAGAAATAAATTTTTGAAATAATCGATTTTGCAATTTTCGCCGATTAAGTTTTAAAAATTCGTATAAAATCCATTTCTTGGAATATGAGTATGAAAATTTCCCAAAGTGTCAATAAAAGTGTCCTCTTTCCAAAGAACCAATACGTTTTGAAAAATAACTTAGTTTTTGAGAAAACAATATTTGAAATTTTGATAAAATTTTCGATGTTGCAATTTTCAAATTTCGCTATAAAATTAATTTCTTGAAGGATCCTTGTGGAAATAGCACAAATTATTAATTAAAATATCCTCTTTTTAATGCAAAAACCCGTTTTGAAAAATCACTTTCTGTTCTTGAGAAATAAATTTTTGAAATGAACGACAATTTTTTCAAATTTTGCAATTTTCGCCGAATAAGTTTTAAAAATTCGTATAAAATCCAGTTCTAGGAATATAAGTATGAAAATTTCTCAAAGTGTTAATAAAAGTGTCTTCTTTCCAATGAACCAACCCATTTTGAAAAATAGCTTTTAGTTTTTGAGAAAACAATATTTGAAGTTTTGATCAAATTTTCGATGTTACAATTTTCATCGATAACTTTCAAATTTCGCTATAAAATTAATTTCTTGAAGGATAATTGTGGAAATATCATCAATTATTAATTAAAGTATCCTCTTTTTAACGCAATAAGCCGTTCTGAAAAATCGCTTTTAGTTTTTGAGAAATATATTCTTGAACGATCAACAATTTTTTCAAATTTTGCAATTTTCGCCGAATAAGTTTTAAAAATTCGTATAAAATCCAGTTCTAGGAATATGAGTATGAAAATTTCTCAAAGTGTTAATAAAAGCGTCCTCTTTCCAATGAACCAATACTTTTTGAAAAATAACTTTTAGTTTTTGAGAAAACAATATTTGATAATTTTCAAATTTCACTATAAAATTCATTTCTTGAAGGATCCTTGTGGAAATATCGCCAATTATTAATTAAAGTATCGTCTTTATAATGCAACAAGTCATTTTGAAAAATCGCTTTTAGTTTTTGAGAAATAAATATTTGAAATATTCAACAATTTTTTCAAATTTTGCAATTTTCGCTGATTAAGTTTTAAAAATTCGTATAAAATTCATTTTTTCAAATATGACTATGAAAATTTCTCAAAATGTTAATAAAAGTGTCCTCTTTCCAATGAACCAACCCGTTTTGAAAAATAGCTTTTAGTTTTTGAGAAAACAATATTTGAAGTTTTGATAAAATTTTCGATGTTGCAATTTTCATCGATAACTTTCAAAATTCGCTATAAAATTAATTTCTTGAAGGATCCTTGTGGAAATATCACCAATTATTAATTAAAGTATCCTCTTTTTAATGCAAAAAGCCGTTTTGAAAAATCATTTTTAGTTCTTGAGAAATAAATTATTGAAATAATCGATTTTGCAATTTTCGCCGATTAAGTTTTAAAAATTCGTATAAAATCCATTTCTTGGAATATGAGTATGAAAATTTCCCAAAGTGTCCCCTTCTCCGTCGTTTTCTAACGAAAAAGTCACAAATTTTTTTTTCTTTTTCGTTAAAAAATATTTTAAATAAGATTCCACACTTTTAATCGAAAATTTGTATTAAGAAAGATTGAAATTAGAAAGATAGAGAAGAAAAATGTTAGCGATTAAGAGAAGAATGTTAGAAGTAGTAAAATAGAGAAGAAGAATAAGATGAAGAAGAATAAGCGTAATCTTAAGAAAAGATAAAACTCATATAAATTTAGAGTAAATATGAAAGATAAGAAATAGAAGAAAAAAATTATTAGCATATATAGAAGAAATAGAAAGAAGTGGATGCCTTGAAGATGCCTGATTCTACCTTAAGCGCAATTTGAGATTGTTCAGCCTGCTGAGCCTCTTTAGCCTCCTTAGTAACAGCCTTCAACTGAACGTTCAAGAATGACTCCGAAGTAGCAGACTGAGGTTGGTACTTGGGTCGGTCGAGTTTGGGTTTGATAACCTTGGCATTAGTTTTTTCCTCCGTCTTAGAATAGTGGGGGAGAATAAAAGACAAGTCAAAGTGAATAAAACACAAACAGAAAAGTGCATAGAATGGAGGAGTTTTTAGAGAGATCTTAAAGAAATTAGATTACTTACCAGTTTCACTTTGTCGTTGGCGACTTCTTCGCTCTAGATTTCAAAGGGACGAACAGACGCAGACATGAAACAAATAATAAACAAAAAAACAAAGGGGTTTTTGAGTGTTTCTTTGATAATATCTTAAAATTAAAAGGAAAGGGTGATTAGTTAAGTGATTGGTGTAAAACAAAAAATAAAATGTGATAGTAAAAAAGTGAGTTTAAATTTTTTCAAATGTACCTCTCCAGCTTTTGATACTTTTCTAAGTTTCGGGGGTTCTTCCGGAGGAACGATTAATTCTGGCGCCTTCAATGAAGGTTTCTTCTCAATTACAGAGGGTTCTTCAATCTTTTTATCTTCAACCTTTTTATCTTCAACTGATTTTGCTTTTGGTTTTTCAGGTTCGATATCTTTTGGTTTCTTTTCAGGTTCGGCCGATTTTTCTTTCGGCTTCTTCTCTGGTTCAGCAACTTTTTCTTTAAGCTTCTTTTCCGTCACCTTCTTTTCTTCTTCTATTTTCGTTTCAGTTTTTGCTTCAACGTCGTTTGTAGGTGTCTGTTTGTTGTATTTTATTGTGTGTAAAGTTTGTTAAGACACAAGACATAAATTTGTTTATTTTTAATTACTTACCGTTTCCTTAACAGCGGTTTTCTTCACGACCTAAATTAATAAAAAAAATTATATAGAGTGTATTTGGGATATTAGGATAGGAATTTAAGAAAAGTACCTTCTTTTTCTTTTCTTCTACAATGGAAGAGCGACGGGAATCGGAAATTTGTTCCTCAACCTAGTTACGATATAATATAATAAATTTACGAATTTGAAATTTTTGGTGAAGAAAAATAAAGCTACCTGAATAGAAGACCGTCTACTTTCTGATTTAGTTTCCCCATCTTGAACGATCTAAAATAACCCCCAAAATATGAGTGAAGAATTTCTTTTTTATAGAAGCGAAAGAATAATAATACCTTTTGTTCCACTTTAACAACCGAACTTCTTCGAGATTCCGTCTTAAGTTCTTCAACCTAAATATTTGAAAGAAAAGTAACGTAATTTGTGTCTTGGTGACGATGAAATGTATTTACCTTGCTAACTTTCTTGCCTGGTTTGGCCTATAACAGGACATTAACAACACATTTTTACCAAAGTCCCAACAATGGTATTACAAAATACACTTACTTTCTCCGGCTCCTTTTCTGCTGGTTTTTTCTTATCGACATCGTTCATTTTCTTTTCTTCTTCCTTCTATTAATTTTTACAGTACATTAACATGCTTTTTATACATATACACAGTATTTATGTATCAAGGCAGCAAAATTTCTCATTTAATATATATAATACATATAATTTTCATAAAATATATTATATACATAACAACTTTGCTGCCATGCTACATTATATTTTTGAAATCAAATTATATTCCTACTCAAACTTATTATTAGTGGTGGAACGGATATCCGGCCTTTTTTTTTAAGTTTTAAAAATTCGTATAAAATCCACTTCTTGGAATATGAGTATGAAAATTTCCCAAAGTGTTAATAAACGTGTCCTCTTTCCAATGAACCAATCCGTTTTAAAAAATAACTTTTAGTTTTTGAGTAAACAATTTTGATAAAATTTTCGATGTTGCTATAATTTTCAAAATTTGCTATAAATTTAATTTCTTGAAGGATCCTTGTGGAAATATCACCAATTATTAATTAAAGTATCTTCTTTTTAATGCAACAAGCCGTTTTGAAAAATCACCTTTAGTTCTTGAGAAATAATCAATTTTGCAATTTTCGCCGATTAAATTTTAAAAATTCGTATAAAATCCATTTCCTGGAATATAAGTATGAAAATTTCCCAAAGTGTTAATAAAAGTGTCCTCTTTCCAATGAACTAACACTTTTCAAAAATAACATTTAGTTTTTGAGAAAACAATTTTGGTAAAATTTTCGATGTTGCGATAATTTTCAAAATTCGCTATAAATTTAATTTCTTGAAGGATTCTTGTGGGAACATCACCAATTATTAATTAAAGTATCCTCTTTTTAATGCAAAAAGCCGTTTTGAAAAATCACCTTTAGTTCTTGAGAAATAATCGATTTTGCAATTTTCGCCGATTAAATTTTAAAAATTCGTATAAAATCCATTTCTTGGAATATGAGTATGAAAATTTCCCAAAGTGTTAATAAAAGTGTCCTCTTTCCAATGAACCAACACGTTTTGAAAAATAACTTTTAGTTTTATTTTATAGTAAATTTAAACCAGTCTCAATACACCAAAAATAATTCGTTTGTTTCTATAAATCTCAGTGATACAATTCTTTTAATTTAACTCTGCAGTTGTTGATTAATTTGATAAAAATGCAATTTACAACGTCGTATCTCAGGAACAAATTGAGATATCATCATGAAATAAAAACCAAATGAAAGCAAATTTAATTAGTATTTTGCGAGTTGAAA